GAATAAAATCTGTTTATTTGATATCATATATGTTTATAAAGGTATTTCAGTTTAGTTTTTATTAATTATCTCGTTATCATTAAATATTAACCTAATCTCATCTGCGTGCATTAGTGCTCGTTTTTTCTCTCTCTCGCTCTCTCTTTTTTGTCGTCATCGTCTCCTTTTGTCGTGCTTTATTACAATAACCACAACCCATGCTATTCTATAAGTAACATTGTAAAAAGAACGAAAATACTCCACTTTCTACCATCTGTACACGCATACGCGTATACATACATACATACAGAAGAAAGAAGGAGAAGAAGAAGAAGAGAGAGAGAGAAAGAAAGAGAAAGAGACAAAAAGAAGGTTCGTTTTTCTTCTTCGCGCGCTTGTTCTACGTCGATCATATCGTCATTGGTACTACTCGTCTTGGGATCGTCGTCGTCATTATGTTCTTAACCTTCCATTTTTAATGCTTGAACTATCATCGGTTATATATTGATAATTATAATTATGATGCGAAAGTTTCGTAGAATTTTTCGTACACCATCATCACCACCGTCAACGACAACGACGATTAAAAATGAAAATACTCATAAGACGAGTAGTTCTGATTCAATTCTAGACGATACATTATACGTCAAAAAAGAATCATTGCCTGTTACCAATTGTTTGTATTCAGGTAAAAAGAAAAGTTTTTTTTTTTTCTTCTTCTATATTTTCTCTTATTTTTGATTCAATTGAGATTATACGTCATTGTAAATTTGTTTTTCTTATGTTTTCATATGATTTCGACGTTTTCTGTTTGATTTTTTTTGCCATTGCAAATGTACTCTATGTTTATTCTAACGAACGATATGCAGCTAGTTGTCGGAACATGTGCAAAGTATGAATAGTTCATACAAGGTTAGATCATAAATATGATTAAGAATGTGAATTTTCTTTTTTCCCATATCTAAGATCATTTCAGATATATTGATCAATCATAATTGAGTTTTTTGTTGATTGATCAAACATAGTTTTAGTCGTCAAAAGCATGACATTGAATGGCAGCTTCTTTGATCATTTAGTAGTAACGAATTGACCTAGACATATACAAAACATCTGGTAACGTTAGTCAACCGATATAATATACTCCCATATTCTTATTTACCATTGCTCTGTGTGTCTATATTCTTCTTTGTTACAACGTATGTATAAAATATGTTTGTATATTGAATGTATGAATGCATTTAAAAATATTCTCACAAAACACGCGTACAAGGATAGTAACAGTCATCTGGCTTCGGTAGTGTGATCGAAGCAATGATTATGATAATGATGTGAGATATTGATAATAATAATAAATGAAACGTATTCTTCACCTTTAACATGTGACGCATCGTAGCGAAGAAAAAAATATAATATGTATATAGAATAATAGATAAAGAAATACATGTATGTGTATGTATATATATATACATTCCTCCATGTTACCTTCCCCTATTACTAGAGTGTAAACTACATATGGACGAACAAGAAGAAAAAAAAAGAAAGATATATTTATCTGTTGATCAGCTGATAATATCTTAGAACAACTATGTCAAAGCTTTCTTTTCAAATGTTGATTTTTATTTTAAATAGATTTTCAATTAGAAACAAGGTTATCACTATTGTAAATCATTTCCTTATTAATATAAAAAAAAATCTATGCTAATCTTTTCGTGATACAATGTTTAGATAAAATTCTTCAATTCGTAGTTTTACATGATAATCGCTTTTTTTTATTATCATATGGATTATTTCAATAGAAAATCATTGAATATATATCCATATAATTATCTTTTTAGATTTCCTATTGTTCTATAGTCCTTCACATGAATGATCGTATACTTCCCACCTTAAAAATATATTAAAGTTCGTAAGTGTATATATATATATATCTATCTACAAAATGTAAATTGAGCATTCGAAAGTTGGTTATTCGAGCCCTTTTATGCGTTATATGGATCACAATCGGATCAAGTCACTTGCCGAGCATATACGTATATATATATATAACTGCATACGAATTATGACTGATATGTACGATACGCTATTATACCTTCAAGCTACCATATATACATATATATGGAGAGAGAGAGAATAAACGAAGTAATTGTCAATAGTAGAAATTTGAGAATTTATTTTATAATCGTTTATAATTGAGATTATTAAAAATATTTATATATTTTTTAAGTAGAATGTTTTAGTAGTAGATAATGAATGAAGTCTGTATGCGGTAAACAAAAAAATCTCTATTATACTAATGTATTTGATCGATTTTCATAGAAAAATTGTGTCGTAATTGAGAGCATAGAATGTATTGAACAAAGATGCGATTATTATATGTATATATCTGTATATATACATAAATAAAAGAAGAATAAGAAAGGCAAAACGAGGTGATGATTCGTAGCAATTGTGTTGATAACCTCGTTTCTTTCATCCATCCATCAAGCCGTTCACTACGTATACATTTAAAAAGAATAAGAAAAATCATGCTTCATCTTCTTCTTGTATTTCTATCGTGCAGACACAAAACCCGTTGCATGCGTTTCGTCATTGTTCAATATATATATATATATATATATAAGCAAACCCGCACAAATGAGCAAAAGAAAAAGAACAATAACATAATTCTTTATTCTTCCTATCGATTACTCGCTTATTTTTCACTCAACAAGAATAATTCTATTGTTACATGTTAGAAGTCAAGCAAATCTGACAAAACCTCAATTAGTTAATAGTGGTTTTTGCTATTATTGTTAGTGGCTTTTTTTTTTAATGCTGAATACATATTTATATATAAAATGAAAACTTATAAACGCAGACGAAACAAAAATGTTACATCCGTATCGATACAACAACGAGGTGAGATTATTTTCAAAATAAACCAAATGTTTTCTCCTTATTCACGTGCACAATAAAAAGAAATTTTTTTTTGTATTCAAATAAAAACAATATTCTTCCGAGTTATATTTGATCTTTTTCTTTATTCATACCACACATACACAAAAAAAGGCGGTACCTACCTTTTCTTTCTCTATTTGTTACTTATACAAGACATTTAAGTGCACTTTAACATTTGAAGAGTAGGTATTTTCTTCAGTAAATTTTTTTATTGTTAGCTTATCTCATTTCTGTTTTTCAATTTCTCATTTGGTGTATGTCGTGTATATATAAGGATTAACTGTTGTTTGATCCCCACTCACTATATTATATCCCATATAGATAAATGTATATAACTTTTCATTGGATTTCAATGATATAGTGTATTTTTTATATGAATAAATATAATAGTTCATATGTAAGTGCTTCCTCTTTTTCTAGTCAGCATCTGCTTTTCCTTCTTTTATACTTATAAAATTAAAAAAAAAGACACGTTTTTTTAGATATTTAATGCCTATGTCTAAATTGATGACATCCGTTAAACCTTGGAGCAAGTTTAAGTTTTTTTTTGCGCACAACGCTACTTCAATAAGAAAAAATTTATGTTTGACTTTTAAAAAGTACAATGATTCAGCTGTTTTTCATTTTTAAATTAAAATCAACCACCTGGAAAGAAAAGTTTCATATATAGTTAACACTTTTCATGTACGTATATGAGACGTCAATAAAAATTTTTCGTTCTATAAAACGTGAAAAAAATATGAATTATATTTTTCTTTTTTTTTTGATAGAGTAGAATGCGTTATTTTTTTGCATCATCATCACCTTTAATTCGATAGTGATTTTTGAAGTATAACCTTGAATACGAATATTATATCCAATATAATAACTCAACTAATATTCACATGAAAAATAATCTAGAGAAAAATCAAAGACAAACAGTAGTAAACATAGTATAGTATTTCTATTCCTTTTTTAATTATTTATCACCATTGAAAAATACGATATGGTTTATATGCTGATTTTTTGCTTTTTTATTTGTGTTGTAAAATCTATATCATCATAAATACTTACTATCTTCAAATGAGTAAGATTTCCTTTTTTTATTCTTCTTCTTTCTTTTTTTTTCTCTTTCATTTCTTAACAGTCAAAAAATGAAGGGGAAAGAATCGTAACGTATATGCAATGTGTACTCGAAACACGATATCGGGCGCGCGTCCATGTCATAATTTGTTTTTGATAGGTGAATTGAAAAGTGCTCACATATTCTATTCACACGAGCCTTTTATATAGACTCACTCTGTTCAATTCTATGTCATTGTTGTTCTATGTGTGCCTGATAAGGTCGACATTTCTTTCGGTTGCCGTACATCGTCTTTCTTTCTCGCTCCCTCTTCCTTCAGTCGCCCTTCATTCTTTCTTTGCCGTCCATCATACATACATATAGAAATACGTTAGTGAGGGTGCTCATCTCTCTGTTTCTCCCTCTTTTTTTTTTATTCCCCTATCGTATTGAGAACAAAACAATTAGTATTGGTAAAAAGAGAAAGAAAGCAGGTAGCCAACTTGACCGGAGCCAGTGCTATATTATTGCTGCTGTTGATGATGGACATAAAGCATGATGGATTGAAGTCTGGTAGGTTGCGCAAACGATAGCCCATTATATAGACGATCTCCTACAGTGTTGGTCATCTATATACTATTCATTTTTGTTGCTCAAATGAAGAAAAAAAAAAGAATAGAACGAAGAGTATCCGATTACAGGGCGATAGTACAATATGTTCTCACCTAACTTTTGTTCACATGAAATGACGAGAGAACGAAGAATACTTCTTCATTTTTCATATCAGTTATCCAATTGTAGAGCCATTCTCTGTCCGTTAATTTTTTGCACTATTAGTACTGAAGTTTATTGTCTTTTGATAAGAACGAAGGAACAAAAAAAAAAAAAGAGGACAATATTTTGCCAGTTTAAATTCAATCTATAATTGACCTTCTTTCTTTTACTAAAATTGAACTGAGGTTAAATAAATATTTTTTTTAAATACCTAGAATCATCTAAAATAACCCAAACATCATCGATAGACGACATACAATATGAAAAAATGCGTGTTATATCTTCTCCAGTTTTTCAATTACGTGATATAATTCATGCTCTATTAACATCTTCATCATTATCATCGTCATACGATCTGATAACAACCTTTTTAACTTATGGTCAATCATTAGGTGCGTCAGCAATTCATGGTTATCTTGTTGATCGTTGTTATGATACTCAAACATTAATTAATGATGAATTTTCTTCTTATCAAGGTATTGCTTTATATATAACATATGATATTAAATTAAATGAGCAACAATGGGAAGGTATATTTGGTATTCATGAGTCAACATCAACTATATCTAAAAATACTTCAAATTTTTTTCAATTAACTGACTTTTTATGCATATTAAGTGGTTCACGTGTCGTTTATTATGATCCAAATGAACGTACAACTAATGAAGAACGTACATTTGTATCAATAGTTGATCTTGAACATGATGATATAACATTATTTAAAGATCAATTATCTCCATTAGATTATTTTTTATTAAATTCTAAAAAATGTTATAATGGTACATTAATACGTTTACCATTACGAACAAAAAAAATAGATAAACATACATTAGATGATATAAAACAACAAATATATAAATATTTTCATTTAAATAATTCTTTAATTGAATTATTATTATTACAATCAAATATAAATACAATTGATTTTGATTCTACAAAAAATTTTGATATATTTCAAAGATTTTTATCCTATGAAAAACATTCATTAACAAGTATTCATGATAATCAATCAACAACACAGATTATACATTTAACATTATCAAGATTAATTAATGAAATCAATACTAGGTACGTATATATATCATTAAGAGAAAAGATATAAATATTCATAAGGTTAAATTATATGACATTCGAAATAATATAATAAATGAGTTAGTTATATTTATATTATAAAGATATTAGCTATTGTTGATTGTTTATAATAGATTTTGACCGAATTTCTTTTGTATTTATTTTGTTGATAGAATTATTATATAATCTGTTGAAAGGCGTAACTGGTTGACTTGATGAGCAAAGTTTTATTTGTTTATGTAATTTCCATTATCGGTCAGAGAATATATGATTGATTATTATTATTATTTACAACTTGTCAAATATTTCCGTACATTCATTTTATTGATAGTCTTGTATATTTTACTAAATGACATCAAACGAGTCTTACTAAGTAATTTGATCAAGTAGTGAATGAGAAAGTACAACCTGACAGCATGTTATGTACATATAAATAAGATATTTATTTAAGTTTAAATTACACAGATCAAGAATAACGTGTATGATTTTAGTTATCGTATTGAAGTTGAGTTTGTTGCGGATTGAGAAGTCTTTTGGCTAGTATCAATTGTATTAATTTAAAAAATTGAAGTAGACTTACGCAGATAATTATTGACTAATATCAAATTCAATATATACCAGTTTTAATATAATGACGTATATAAATAAATTCGAACTGATGGAGTAGACTGAACCGTTATGTTTACTGATAAATCTGAATAGCATTGATATCTGTTTTGGAGAAAAAGGAAGATGAATATTTTTGAAGGCATTATCTTATTATGTAAGGAAATAAATAATGTTTAGACTTTTTTTCTCTGAATTGTAATCTGAGATATTTAAGATATTAATTTTAGTAAGTTAACCCTTTCAGTACGGGATTTTTTTCCCAATTAGATAATGAAGCACAGAATTAATTAACGTTAATTAGTTCTCTTCTTTACTAAACATAATATATCGTTGGAAGATAGCTACTGTATGTACCCAGATAATTTGTACAGGCACGTAAACTAATATTGGGTGAAACCGTGGAGACCCGTCTACTTTTCCGGACAAAGTTTTTTTTGATTTTTTTCACTCCAAAATGCCGGTATAGTTTAGAAAACACTTTTGATGGAAAAAAAATTAGGTCCTTGCTGTTAAAAATGTCGAGTTTTGGAGCAGTTTTTCGGAACAGCTATGATATTTTGTTATATATAAGTGGCATTGGACGCAAATCATGACCACATTGCTCAATAGACTAATTCAAAAGTAGTTCCATGTGAAAGAGCACATCGAACTGTATCGAATAAAATCAAAAAAATTTTGTTATTTTGAATGTTGTCTAATGAAGTTTTTTCAACAATGTTCTAGTCTTTTGCAATAGGCGTTACTTAGAAAAGGTCGTATTTGGCTGTTTTCAACATTAGCAACTGCCGTGGTAAAAAAATAAACATCATATTCGAAATCAGCACAAAAGCTGCATCAGAAAACATACATTTGACCCAAAATTTGTTTTTTTATAAAACTCACCTGTGGTACCCCCCAGTACTTTTTCTGATGCAGCTTTTGTGCTGATTTCGAATATGATGTTTATTTTTTTACCACGGCAGTTGTTAATGTTGAAAACAGCCAGATACGACCTTTTCTAAGTAACGCCTATTGCAAAAGACTAGAACATTGTTGAAAAAACTTTATTAGACAAAACTCAAAATAACAAAATATCATAGGTGTTCCGAAAAACTGCTCCAAAACTCGACATTTTTAACAGGAAGGACCTAATTTTTTTTCCATCAAAAGTGTTTTCTAAACCATACCGGCATTTTGGAGTGAAAAAAATCGAAAGAAAAACTCTGTCCGGAAAAATGGACGGGTCTCCACGGTTTCGCCCATTAGGTAAAATAATCGAAAAATGGTACACATCTAGACATTTAAATCGTTTCTGAGAAGTGACCGCCCGTCCCGAACGGATTAAGAGTTACAGATATTTTATTATTTGTTACCAATCGTTCCCGTCTTTCTATATTCATTGATATAATACTAATTGCATTTAAATTTTTAGTGATGTATCTTATTGGCTTTTATCAGTTCATAATGATTATAATGATATTGGTAAATATAACAATGAATTAAAACTTCTACTTCCATTAACTCCACTTAGTTTATCATCTGAATCCTCTAATGTACTATTACAATCACAGAATTATCAATCAATTCAACTAACATCATCACGAATATTATATTATTGTACATGTCCATCATTAAATTCATTATCTAAAGATGATTTATGTACAAAATTACGTCAAATAAAATTTCCTCAAGCATATGCATTATTTTTAAAAGATTTATCGCGATTAATAAAACCAATAACATCAGTATCATCATCATCAAATTTATCAATTGATCTTATTTGGGAATTAATGCCAGACGTTGATGAACATCAACGTTTATTAAATGAAAAACATAAATATTCTTTACAACAACAACAAAATGTTCAAGTTATTAATAATATTATACCAGATATTTGGAGAGAAATTGGTAAGAAATTTTTTTCTAATATCAATATTAAAATGATCATAATAGTAAAAATTCGCATTCAGAAAGTTCTATTAATCATTCCATATAGTTTTTATCGAACGACCGAAAATATACAACACAATAGGAAACCTATAAAACGTATTTTTACACTAGTCCGATGATGTCTGTATATATAGTATGAACAAGCATTTCGTGAAAGAAAATTTAACTTGAACATTTTGTTTGCATTTACTTGTAATTATATAGTCTCAAGACAATTTTCTGTTATGAATAGATTTGGTACTGTGTGATTTACATAATCATTAAAAACTTATAAGTGTCTTTTCTTTAAATTACTTGCACGAATGATTAGCACACAGTACACATATTTCAAGTAGTTTTGACGGCAGTTTTATAATAATAAAGTCATAATTGATTTTTCTTTCTTCAGGCTAAATCTAATTTATCGAGGTCTCCAACGAAGACATGAGATATTTGTTTTTAGTTATTTATACTTCGTAACACATTTCCGATATTGTTGACAATGATCTACTAATAATGAAATTAGAACTTATTGAATCATGATAAATATCGAGATCTTATTTTTATATTATTTAGGTAAACAAGAATTATTTTATTCTGTAACTGATGGTTGGGGTTATGTTGCTATTGAAGATATGATAATTAATAATGTTGAATCAGGACCAATACAAGACGTATTAACCTATGTTTTTTCAGAAGCAAATGCACCTATTGTAATATTACCCTCTCATGTAATTAATGGCTTGTGTAAATATTCAAATAAGCATTATTTACAAGTAATGACACCATTTCATGCATCAGAATTATTAGCAAAAAATTCTTCAATACTTTTACGTTTAACATTTGAACAAAAACTTTCATTATTAAAATATATCATATTAAATGATCCTGATCCAACTTTAGTACTTGAATTAGAATTATTACCATTAGCTAATAATACATTTATAACATTTCAAACCAAACAAGCATCAATTGTATATATTGTTGATAAAAGTGTAGATTTTTTAAAATTATTTCATATTAAACAACATGATCGATTCTTAAATCCAAATATAGATCAAGATTTATTTGATAAACTATCATCGAAAAATTTCCAAGGTAAGAAGAGAAGTCTTCACTTTATTTTGTTTTTATTTGATTTACACTTGATCAATGTTTTTCTTTCTCGTCTGTTTCTTTTTCGTCTTCATCAGAATTAAAAAGAAATCTGAAGAGTGAAAAAAAGAAACTGTTAGAAGAGATTTCTTGTTTTTGTTACACAGTACTTATAACCACATTTTTCTTTTCTTCCTCTTATAGTGAGATTCAAAGGCGGGATTTTTTTTTATTCAAACGAACAAATATATATATATATATGTGTTGTAAAGAGAAAGAGAGAAAATAGAAGAGCACAAAGAAAAGAAAAAAAGAATGTTTCTAGCGGAACAGACTGAATGTCGACGACCGCAAGTGGTACTACAGAGCGACAGCCACAATAAGTGTGATTGCACGTGTGTTGTTTTTTCTTCTATTCAGTTTAAAATAAGTATAAATGTATCGTCCAAATTATAATAATGGATCGAGAAATTATTTTGATCGATATTCTCAAGGTATACGAAGATCAGAATCAACTTCACCATCATCTCGTGATCGAGGTAATGAATAGAAGAAGTTTCATAAGTTTTTTTTTTAGAAATTAATCATGACCTCTCATACTATTGATTTGTTGACAGACGTACAGATCATAAAAGAAGAAAAAAAAATAAATATATTTGTTTTGTTTCTTTTTTTTCTCTTGTTTATAAGTGAATAGAAACCTCCAAGGTAAGCTATAGTTCTTTGCGTTAACTAACAGATAAAAAAGAAACTGTTGGCATTTTTTATTTGTTAACCTTAAATGATGATCAAGGTTTATTGCATATTTATGCTCTACAGATGTCGAAAGATGATCAAAGAGCATCGATATTGATTTGTTGTAAATGAGTAAGAAGCAATTATATTGACTGTGATTTATCAGTTAAAGTAGATTTAGCATCACATCGAGGCCATTTTCTCTAATAGATGCGCGTGTTGGAAGAATAAAAATTGAGGTCAATAGTACTAAGTAAAAGAGTTTTATTCTATCATATCATTAAACAAGGTCAATATGAGATATACTCAATTGATCATTATCATTATCTGTATGTATAGAAATAAAAAAAAAGTAGAGTATTTGTAAATACAAGGTGAAGTGGTTTTATATGTATGTTTATTGAATCCGCCTATCTACATAGTCAATGGTTTAATTATTAATGCGCATATTTTAATTATCTTTTTGTATGTTTTAACTAAATTGAAGTGTATTTCGAGGATACGAAAAAAAGAAACAAACGAATCTTTTTAATCTTTTCAAGTTCTTTTTTCTTTTTGTTAAGTAAGAAAGATGACGATAGGGGATTATTACTTTCTATGTACAATATTATTTGTAAAAGAGAAATTTTTTCATCAATATGATATATCTAAAATATTAATTTCTTGTTCGATTACTATTAATCATATGATACAACCAATCGTTCATACGTGCTTATATATTCTGACACATAACAAATACTCTCAACAATATCAGTATCATTCCTATGATTTGTCAACGATTATTATTTTTCTCTCTCGCTCCCTGCTTGTGTCTTTCTCTCTCTAACCCCTTTCCTTCATTTCTTCTTCTCTATATCGCTCTTCTAGCAATTGCTCAACAATTGCAGTTCGAAATTCTACTCAACCAGTGTTGGTTGATGGCTATAGTAAGCACTTGAACTCATATGCATGGATGCTTCTTTTCTTCGATTTTCTTACACGTTGAATGCATACATATACTTACATTTATATGTGTACATTTTTATAAGATGACGATGAGTGTTGTTATAACGAATACTTCTCAAATTTGATCTGTCAATACTGATTCCCGACATATAGTAAAACAACGAAGAAAAGATTATTTTCTTCGAGATTTTTACCTACAATTATCGTTTTTACTAATAAAAGAAAAACAAAACAATATTAATGAAGAAGAAGACGACGATGAAGAAAAATAACAAAGTTTGATTTTTAATCGAAATCAATTAAATACTTTCAAATATTAAATAAATACAGTTCAAAAACTTCTTCTTCTTCAAGTTTTTCTTTTATTATTTTAATGGGTAATATGAATTGCGCAAGAAAATCTTGTTCATCAAAAAAATCCGATACTAACTCTTTAAATAATCATCCTTCATCAAAACGTATTCATCGTTATAAAGAACAAACTTCTTATCCATCCTCATCTTCATCTTCAATTTCAACATCAGAAGGTAATCTAGATTTATTATTTGTTAACATCATCTTTCATTAACATTGAATTTTTTTAAGTGTGATTTTCAAGAGTTCTTGTAACATCTCTTTTTTTTTCGTCGTCGTCACCACTTGAATTTTATAGATTGATTTAGATTTTAATTGGATTTGATATATAGATATCTAGTGAACGACATAAGACAGGCGTTTAATTGAACATGTCTATATCGCTTATTATATTTATATTTATAAAAATCAAAAGAAAGACAGATATTATTATCTATCGAAAAGAAAAGTATCATACATTGTCAATGTCAAATAATGAAAAGAAAGCTTAGAACAGAAATGTATATAATTAAGTATTCGTAAAACAAGTATCTATACATATAAAGAAAAAAGATTAACATAACATATATCTTTATCATCGTAATAATAAATCAGCGTTCCGAGTATAATCTATAGGATACATCAAATCACAAAGAAAAGGCTTGATAAGTTCCACTTAATAGAAAGTCATAAATAAATCTTCTGTACATTTTCTTCTTACTTTCGAAAGAGTTCGTTTCTTCGTCTCTCTCTCTATACCATTTTTGTTTAAAATGTAATTATAGAATATACATGTTCAATGAATATGAACTAGTGGTATATGAGTTCGAAGGTCTTTTATTCTATAGTCAATGTACACATTTTCCAAATGTTCTTTGACTTATTTTTTCTACATCAGTTATGAACAAGTATTCAAATAATATAAAAGAAGTGTGAAAGAGTATGAGAGAGAGAGAGAGGGAAAGAAAAAGACTTAAAAAAGAAAAGAGATGTGTAAAACGATTGTATATAAAATATAAGTGAAAGAAAGAAACCTTATAGCTGGTCTATATAATCTTGAGTAACTTAAAAAGTCCGCCTTCTTTTACTTTTTCTCATGGCATCAATCAACAGTAATACAAATTCATCAAGAAAACGCAATATATCTTTTAGTCATTTTCTTGCAACACAAAATTTATCAATATTTCGTAGTAAATCTCCGATAATTGATTGTTCAATTCAGATCTCTGACCCATCTGAATTTAATAAAACCCAGCTTAATAGCAAAATTGAACAACCATCAATACCAATATGTATAAATCGTACTTGGTTAAAAAATCGTTTACCACGACCACTTTCACTTGATCTTGATGTTGTAAACAATCATGAGTATCTTATCGAACAACAATCATCAAAAAAGCAAACTGGTATTAATATTTCCTTCTTTTTTTTATTAATCTATATCGTATAGAAATAATTAAATCAGATAAGATAGAAAGAATACTTATTATATCTAGTTGATAAATAATTAAATACGTTATTTCTCTAAGATTAGATTGATTATAGATTAATTTTATTATGTTATTTCATTGTATAATCATATACAAAATAAATCTTAAGTAATCAATAGTGTATCTGTTTTATTTCACTATTTTCTAATAGTATTGTCCAAAAAACTAGGACAATCTAGATGAGTTACAATTTCTTGACGAATGTAATAATCCAACCCTATATAAATAGAGTTGAACTTTCGTATTATGTTGTTCTATTGAACATCGTCTCTTTTTTTTTGTCGATAAGAATAATGCCTCGAAATTTTCTTACGAATAATTCATTGAAAGAAAAAAAACAAATATTTCCTCGGTGGAACATATCATCATCAACAAATAATATTAATAGCCGAACAAAATTTATCATGGGTCGACCTTTTACATCACCATCGTCATTTAATTTACGGAAAAAACAATTTACACATATTCATTACGGTATGTGTTAATGAGCAGAATTTTTCCTTCATTTCAATTCACTACCTATTAAAAAAAATAAACTTATCTCAAGGTAATCAATAGACATATCGAAACAAATTTGTCTCGTTTTTTTCTTCTTGTTGACACTATGTATGTTTAATTCAAAAAAAAAAAAGAAATTTTCTCGAAGGACAGTTTTTATTGAATAGGAACAAATATTATATGAGTTTTCTTTGTTAGGATATATGTACTTATATAGTAAATAGATGTCAATTATTTTTTTTCTCTAAGATTAATATATGATTTCTTGACATATCTATAAATGATTGATCCAGCTGTGTGTGAGTTGTTGTTATTTCATTTCTATTCAATCAATTCTCCCAAACGATATACGTGTGTCAATGATTACGTAAAAAAAATATCGACTGCAATCACTTTGATAACAACTTCATTATGTGATGACATTACATAGCTTCGTTTTACCGGTACGAACTACTACCATGAACATACTAGAATGAAGAAAAAAGAGAGAATGAGTGATGGTATTACTCTTCTTCCTTTTAGTAATGTATGTACATATATATTACTCTTCTTTTGCTGTTCTCTTTTTACCTTACTGGTCTTTCCTCTCATCTTCCACACCGATCGTGTTGAATACATTCTCTTTCTCTCTCTCTCTCTCTCTCTCTCGTTTTTTCTCTCGTACGTATATGCGTACAGATTTTTTACGATGACGTCCCTGTACATGCGCCATCACTCTCTTACTATTATTACTCTTCGTTTTCATCACGCGTTCGTCGAACGAAGAGAAGAATAAAGTGAAGATTGAGGATGATGATTGCGATTATCGTCTAGCCTCAAATAAAACCTACACCGCATATATATATATATTTATATATATATATATATTTAAATATACTTCATGTTAAAACAAAGATACGATGGACTCTAGATATAGTTTTTCGGCAACAATGCCGCAACATGAAAATCAAACATCACAAACTATGAAGAATAGCAGTGAAAGTAGTCTACAAAATAATGTAAATCCACCAACATCTACATCCACACGCTATTTTCATCGTGCTCCATTGATATTTCCTCAACATCATCAACAACGTCTTCGTACATCATCGCCAAGATTTTCTTCATCATATTTGGGCCCATTAAATCAACATCGATCACGTTTCCTATCAGCTTGGGATCTTACTCCTAGACCACACATACACAATTCATCACGGCAGCCTTCTGCGACTACTCCAACACCTACATCATTACCCGAGCAATTTGATGAAGATTCACTTTCTGTAAACAATAATTCATTAAACAATCCTATTGCAAATACTCCCACCCCTTCTACATCAATGTCAAATCCATATGAAGACGGTTCACAATCTTCAAGACAATCTATGCGTAGTCCAGGAAGCAACACTCTTTCGCCTACTCCATCATCTACTTTAATACCGAAACAAAATGATATGGGTTTACGCTCTCCAAAACTAAATATACAAAATTCATCCCGTAATACCATTGGAATTGCTTCAGCACCTAAATCAATAACGAAACAACATGATGAAAATTCACATATGCCAAAGTCACCGATTCCCAGATCAAGTATCCCCAAATCAACGCGTAATACTATTTCATCTAATTCAACATCTACACTTGTTCCAAAACAACATGATGAAAATTCGCGCTCTTCAAGAACAACTTTACATAATTCACCACGTCAGACTACTGCAACTACTCAAGCAGTTCCATCAGTGCCGCAACAATATGTTGAGGGTTCGTGTATCTTGAACAGTTGTGCCTTTCTCTAATTAGATATCTATCAAAATTGTGTAATACACTTCTGAATTCTTTCCTTAGTGCGCCAACATAACTTTATATATACATACACACACACATATATATATATGTATACATATGTAGTAGATTTTCTGTATTGATTATTTAGTAGAACAAACAATAGGATAAATATCAATATGTCTACCAGATAATCTTTAATCTTTTATTATAGAACAGAATTTTCCTATCAGATGTAATGAATAATTACCCATATGGAATTCTTAGGAGTAATTAAAATAATATTTCTGTTATTTTATTAATAGAATATTATATGTATATATATATATATATATATGAAGTAAATGTCAGTAGAAAAGAGAACAAAGAAAAAATCTACCATTCATCCTTGACGAACGTGACAAACAAAAAAATGATCATTCACATTCTGCTCTAAGAGATTTAAAACATCAACAGAAAAACTTTTTTTTTGTCAGCTTCTTTATTAATCAACAGACCATAATAAAGAGTGCGCTTGAAGCAGAATATATTTATGCCATAATGTGTCTCTCTTTTTTGCCTTTTTCTTATTCAAATAAGACCTTGTTCTTGAAAAGAACAAACAGAAAAAATTGCATCAACGCCAAACCAAAACACTTTTTTCTCTGATTGCTAACACATATCATCGTCAATCTTTAAGCGTCTTATATTTTTTTTCTATTGTGTTCAAGCGCAGGACAGCGACAATGTTGAATCAAATCTCAAGCCGCAAAACCATATACATATATATATTTATATTTATATATATATATATATATAAATATAAGTGTCTGATTGCTTTTTCTTTCTGTGTTTCGATGAAGAAGAGAACGAACGTACGTACGAATGAGTAGGCTGCTCATTGTTAAGAAGGACATTGAAGTACGTGTGTAGTGACACAGTCAACATGTATATGTATATAAAAATCTGTTTCAGTACAAATTTTGTTTGAACTTTTTCATTTTTTTTGTGTAGTAATCATTTAAAAGATAGTCTATAGTTGAATAAGAAGTTAGTTTTTTCAGGATCTTTTTTTTCTTTTCGAATGTATCGAAATAACAAATTGGTACTGAAAAGAAAGAAGAAAAAAGATAAAAAGAAGATTGCTTCGATTTCATTATTTCTTTTGCTCTTTTGAAAAGAAACAGATCTTATTTCAAACAGTAATGAAAACGGACACTATTCAATCTTGACCTCTTATTGACAATTCTTTTATACACAGCTGTTACTATCACAATTTCGTTACCTATCATAGAATGTTAAAAAGAATAAAGAACAAAATAGACATTATAATAGTATTGTGTTTTTTCTCTTTTTTACCTATGCTCAATAAAAGTAGACAATGAAACACTATTGGGATTAATAAATCATTAGACTAACAAAACAATAGTTATTGTTGATATTTACCGATTAGTTGAGTATGTTAACGAATGTAATTTATTATGCAGGTTTTTCTTCTTCTTTTCTTTTCTTTTATTTCTATGATAACGATAGAAATAGGTGTCAGCTGTTATTTTATCTTTTTTATTTATTTAGATCGAACACAACTTCAAACAATGCCAGCAAAAGATTTTGCTGATTTAGTTATGTTACCACGTGAATGGCGTCGTGGTGAAGTTTGTATTCCATGGGCTAGAAATCATGATTATTATAATATTTCATGGCTTGAAAATCTTTGGAAATATATTAATGAAAAACTTCCAAATGATTTAACAACACTTGAAAATACAAATATTCTTTATTTACAACCATTATCACGTTCATCAAGTGCATCATCCTCAAATAATACAATATCATTATATAAATTATCAAAAGATATTGGCCTTATACAATTACCCACCGTTCCAAGTAAAGATGATTTAGCTATACAAAAAGTTTTAGTAAAATTAAATTTTCATTGTATTGAACCATTTCCGGAGATTATACGACGACATAAATTAATTGATGAATATGTTCCACAATTATCATGTTTAGGTTTATTACAAATATTTAAATGTCGTTTAAGACATTTTACACAATTAAAAATTCAACATGAATTTAATACTTTATTAAATGAACATGATATGAAATTATTAAGACAATATTTATCTCGTATAATGACACAACAATTAGATGATTCAAATATTCAATGTATTAAACAATTACCTATATTTGATAATGCATATTTAGGTAATGAATCAAATCATTATCCTCAACAACAACAACAGCAACAACAACATTATAAATATATTAGTTTAAATAATATTTTATATATTTATGAATCCGGAATAAAATTACCGATTGATTTACAACCACCGAAACAATGTATACATGTAACTGATAGTGATTCAAGAATTTTACTAGATAAATTAGGTTATGTTATACATGATTTTACACATGTTGCAAGATATTTAATAACAACTATTGGACAACAACAACAATTAAATATTCAACAACCACAAACACCACCAACAATTAATCTAAAAAATGATCATCAAAAAATGTTGTATTTAGGTAAATTGAAAAAAATATTTTTTCGAAGAGAAATATATGTTGGTATGTGATTTTTATATCAAAATCTAACCATTAACACTCCTAATGGACTTTCGCCCAAAGATATTATATTTAAAAAAGTTACAAAAATAGAATTTGATGTAAAAACTAAACTTTTGTCTGAATTTTAATTTCCGGAATTAATATATTTATTATAAATCTTTTGTTTTAGGAAAATGGCTGTTAGTCAATTGCTCGAATTTAATTTTAACCGATGCTGTTTGTCAAGATACATTATCTACATGTCGTTTATTTCTTAATCGTAAAGGTGAAATATGTTCATGTCAACAAATGTTTGATCCATCATCATTTCATAATAATAATAAAGATAAATATTTAAGTTTATTTGAATTAAAATATTTACCATCACAAGATTTATGTTCAACAAATGAAACATTACCTTTATTAAAACATCTTAAATTACGACAATATTATGATATAAAATGTGATGAATTAATTGATATATGTGAAATAACAATGAAAGAATCATCATCATCAACAACTGGTAAACGTTCATTAATGTTCTTATTAGCTGAATTTATTATTGATATATTAAGTCAAAATGTTAAATTAATTGATGAATATTCTCAAACAAAACGAGTTACTCTTAAACAATATTTAAATAGTACATCATGGATGCCGGTTATGCTTGAAAGACCACATGGATATCCACTGACACTGACATGGCAAGGTAAATTAATCAAATTGCACTATACACCTTTATGTTCATTGAACTTTAATTACTCTATAAACTTGAATGATAAAGATATCAGTTGAGATATAATCAAAACTACTGTAAAAACCAATTAAACTAGAATAGATTTGATTTATATAGATCTCTATAGAAAATAATTTATCTTTTTCTTTTAGGATCTATTGATACTCGTCGTGCATTTGTAAATCCACGTGATCTATGTGATAAACTTCATGGAACACTTGTTGGTGGTATCGTTCTTGTTACATCTCTTGATCTTCCTGAAGCATTTTATGTTTCATCACGTCCATCAAATCGTTCCATATTTGATATGCGTGAAATCAAACTTGATATATTAATAAAACAATTAAAATGTATTGTTTTATGTTATCAAAAAAGTTCTTCACATGAACAAAAAAATGAAACATTTGATTATTTAAATTTATGTAAACGTCTCTATGAAACATTATCACATTTAACAAATACAAATGATATATTAAATGAAATGCGTAAATGTAGTTTAACTGAATGGATATGGAATAGTATAAATGGATTTTCTTCAATAAATCATATTTTTCTTATTGATAAAACACATCCATTAGCATCCTATGTACAAATTCTTCCATATGAATTATATAATTATCGAAAATTTTTTGAATCAATCGGTGTTAAAACTCAACCAGAAGCATCAAAAATCGAAGATTTAATACGTAATCAACAGCAACAACCCATTGATGAACATTTACTTAAATGGATTAAAGAAACATATACAACTGATCGTCGTTTATTACAATTAATAAATGATTATGAATTAAAATCTCTTTCCAAAGGAACGAATAATAATAATAATAATAATAAAACAAAAAATCTTAACGATGAACAAACACGTATTACATTTTCTAGTACACTTGATTTATCTGATGACAAGGTCTATCTTTATTTACCAGGTAAATTTTCAAGGACAACGAAAAAAAAATGAAATCAAAAGAAAAACATAACAAAGCTTTGTTTTTATTTTAGATATATTCAATAAACAAACAAACATTAAAGAAACAGTTGTACAAGCCCTAACAACTATATCGAAAGAAAAGAAAACTCAATTGTTAAATGAAGAAGATTATTTTATACGTAAAATGTCTGGAAGTGAATATTTAAAAAATCTGTATGATCATTATCGTGCATATAATGATTTACTTCTACCAAATTTAAATGTTTTACCTAAAAATGTTAAAGATACATTAGTTTTATTTGCATTAGATCATGCAGATAATATGATGTTAAATATTTTAAAACAACATTGTTGTATACCATGTACACCTAATGGAAGAACATTAAATAAACCATCGAAATTAATACATCCATATTGTCGTTTAGCATCACTTTATTCCGATATTGATTCATTATTTCCATATGGAGGACAAGATTCATATTTAAGAGAAGATAGATTAAATGTTTTGAAACTACTTGGTAAGATATATTTTCCTTAAATTCGTATGAAGAAGTTATTTAATCAACTAGCATTTTTATCATAATATTTTCTCATTTCTACATTTTTGTTTATAAAATTCCGATGATTGAATTTAAAAATAGAAAAATATTCATCTGAAACTAATTAAACTTAATTTGAAAAAATACGAATGATTTGCATATTTAACATTTATTAGCAAAGGAATTTAATGATGACAAGGAAAAGAATGTAGAAGACAAGATATATATATATATATATATAATATAACCAAAAAGAAAGTATTCGATACCACTCTGTATACAATGTTATATATAAGTAAATAGTGTTACATCATACATATGTATATCATGAGTTACGATTTATTTTTTTTCATATGGAGAAAATAATATTTCACACGTATATATATATTTATATTGAGAATAGAAATAATCAATTTTCGTAAACAAAACAAGTCAACTTTTATCTCAAGGCCACTATTCATTATACACACGAATAATTATTTCGATATATCTTGCAAAAATAATTTCTTTTTTTCTACCTTTTAAATAGGTATGAAATGTGATGACAACCTTGTAACATGGCCTGAATTAGTCGAACGATGTGAATCAATACAACGTATGCGTGATTATGATTTAGCTCATGAACGTTCATTAGCATTACTTCAAATTCTCAATGATATGTTAACAATGTCAAATTCAAATCCAACTCGAACATTTGATGAAAGTGATGATTCATCCGATCGTCGTTCTCGACAATCATCATCATCAAGTTCACGTGATAAATCTATTCATATGAATACATCAACTTCATCTTCATCAATATTAAATACACATGAAGCACTTCATGATAAAGAAGCTCGTACACGTGCATCATTACAACTTCGTGAATTAGCATTTATACCAATAAAACCTCGTCCACAAGAATTAAATGGAATAAATTTAATATGGATGGGTGATAAATATTCCAATCGTTTATTTAAACCAAAAGATGTTCTTTCACAACATTATGAACAATTAGTTTGTTCAACATGGCCAATAGCTGAACAATCAAAAATCAATCAAGAACAAATTATAATTACTAAACAAGTTGAACATTTTCTTGCATTAGATGATGCATTTAAAATTGAATATAAAGATATTCTTAAACAACTTGATGAAATCTCGAAATTATCCATTGTTAATAATTCCGGTACAATTACATATAATCATCAAGCAACATCAAAATATATTCTTGATATGAGTTATGCTATATATGATTATATTCAATCATTTTGTTTTCCACATTTACAAAAATCTTCGGAATATGAATATCGTTCATCATCAATGACAACAAATCAATTAGAACATTATAAAAATGAAATACGAGAATTTTTTAAACAACGTCGTTTAATTTATTTTACTGATCCATCATCAACCGATACATATTTATTTTTATCATTAGAACAATTATTATGGCAATCACCTAATCGTTCATCAACAAAAATATCTAATCATTTAAAACCCTATTATTATTCTATACCAATATCATTACAAAAAACTTATAAACATTTTTTTCTTGATCTATTACAAATTAAATGTCAATTGGAAGGTAAAGATCTTTTATATATCATTGAACAAATTAAAAAAAAATATGGTACGAAACCAATTGATAAAGATGATTTAAGTTTATTACAAAATATTTATACACTTTTAATTGAACAATATTCAAATGTTTTTCATACAAAAAATCAATTATATTTACCAAATGTTGATTGTGTTCTACAACCTGGTCCTGAGTTATATTTTTATCCATTTGAAAGGGAACAAATTTGTAAGTAAAAGACTGAATCATATTTTCTTTTTTATATATATTTCTTCTTTTCACATCCACCTCTCACAAATAAGGTAATTCATCCGTAACATTGTATATTCTTTCATCTTTTTTCGATATGATGCATAATCATTGACATGGTCAATTAAATATAAATGTAAATACATATACATACATATATTTCATGATGATCATCATCATCATCTTTGCGGTATGTTTTATGAGCTTTCGAATGAGTACACAATATATGCAAACATAGTCAGCAGTAGTTTGCATTATTATAACTATATAGCCTTGTCGTCATCATTATTGCTTACTTTCTTATTATATTTGAAAGCAAGAGTACATTTTCTCTTCTCTCGATTCTGTCCGTCATCTTATCGCGCGCGCGCGTCTGAGAAACTATTCGACACAATCGTTGACGATTGTTGTGGTTGTGGTCTAGCTAGAAATATTATCAAGAATAAGAAATATATAGTTGTTTTATATGTGGCACTGTTATTACGACTTCAATATCAAAGAATGTCATCGACACCACTAAAATGCAATGATCATACAATTTTCTTCAAATTTCCATCTACAATAAATTGTAAAGAATACAAAAAAAAAATATTTAAATCTTTTCTTTTTCTCTCTTCTCTTTTTTGTTGTCCTTCTTACCTTTTATTATGTTTATCTCTCTATCAAATTTCTCTCTTTTAGTTTTCTTTTTATCTTTTATTTTCATTTTACCTGTCTCATTTTTTTCTTTTTTTGGTTATATTTATTTTGTTTCGTAGTGTCAACTTCTTCTCCGTCTGCACAGAACGAACATTACGTGCATCCATCTGTTGATCGACGTGTTTGTCTCAAGGCCGGTGTTAAAGTACAAAAAAATCCTATTGTCTCTGCAACTGTATCATCATCATCAAGTCCTCCAACAAATCCAAATATGATAAATAATTCTTCAACAAATAATAATTCTTCACGTTTATTTCCAAAAATATTTGGTAATAAAAAATTAGAATCAATTCTTGCTCGTCTCGATGATCCACATATAAATCCACAATTAGTTGAAACAATGGATGAATCCAATCCAAATATCGTTTTAGAATTTTTACTTGAATCAAATAAACATACGCAAATAACAAATAATTTATCTGATGATGATATTACCATAATATTAAAATATTTTAATGATTTTTTAACAAGTGGTTTTCAAGGTAATTTTCAAAAAGTGCGTGAATTAAAAATTTTCAGACCACTTTGGGGTATTGCATCAAATGATGATAAACAACAACCGATTCAACAATGTTGTTCATTAGAAAATTTTTCACATGTTTATATATTAAATGAAGATTGGTCGAATTTAATTCGACGTTCATTTAAACGAAATTTTTTTACTGAACAATTTCATGAAAAAAAAACGGTTTTATTAATGCAAAAAAAAATTGAATCATTAAGTAAAATATTTACACATGTTAGATTTATTATCCCATCGGATATGGAAATATTTTTACAATTATGTTTACCACATTTTAGAAAATTAGATGCGAGATCACAAGCGAATCTAATTAAATATTTTACTGATGATATTGATGAAAAATTATTTCAACATGAAAAAGAACAATGTAGAAAACAATTACATGATCATTTAGAAATTTATACACAAATATCAAATGATCATTTACATAAAATACCAACACCCATATCACGTTCATCACGTGATCCACCGGAAATTTGTCCGATCTATGAATTATATGATCCTAATATTAAAAATATTCGTTCGATTTTAGGTGTTCATCATTTTCCTGATGAACATTTTCATACACCAACCATGTTAAAATTTCTTAAAGAATGTGGTCTTCGTTCTTATATACCGACAGATAAATGTAAACAAATTATGGAATCAATTCAACTTAATGTTAAACAAGAAGGTTGGACAAATGAACAACGTAAACGTTCAAAACATTTATATGAACATTTATTATCAAATTGGACACGCTATGATAATTCAATATTAGATTATAAATTTCTTGAACCCTATCAATTGCATTTAGAACGAAATGATTTATTACAATTACATGAACAATATACAAATTCATCAGATACAAATGTAACGGATCATTTTCGTTATACATGTATTAAATTAAGTGATGGAGAATTATTAAAAGATGTTGAATTATGTTGGACATCATCGTATTTATTACCGGAATTTGTTTGTCTCGAACAATATAATGATTTTACTGAACAAAAACAAGCCATTGAACAAAATGCATTAGAATTTTTTAAATTAAATAAAAAACCTTCGTATGCATTAGTACAAAAAAATCTCTCGAATTTAGCGAAAAAATTCTCATTAAAATATTATAAAATTAATAATAATCCTAAATCATCTCAAACAATTATACCACAACAAGGTACGGATGAAACATTAATATCGACATTGAAAATGATCTATCATTATTTTCAACATGAAATTAAACATGAACGTCGAGCTGAAATTTATAAAGAATTAGAAGATCGTGAATGTATTTATTCTCGTACACGTCGACAATTTTTACATGGAAAATATTTTTGTTTAAATTTACCTATCGCAGATGAAATTCCACCATTTCTATTTTCATTAGATCAAGATTTTTATGAATATAAAGAATTTTTTCTACATATCGGTGTACAACCTGAACCACATCCGATGTTATATGGAGATATATTACGGAAATTATCTAAAGTTTGTGATCAAGATTATTTAAATTCAAATGAATTATGTAAATCATTAAAAGCTATGGAATGTTTTTTTAAATATTTAGCTATTAATTCAACTATTAATTCACAAACAAAACTACCTGGTAAGAAAGAGAGAAAGATTCCTTTTTTTTCTTAAATATACACCAATATAAATATTGGATATTAAAAAGACTCTTTTGAATTATTCTTCATGAATGAACCCATGGAGTGAGAGAGAAGATATTATATACATTTCGAGTAGGCTGAAAAATAATTACTTAGAATTCATAGGTGTATACTTCATCATGATGTATTCTTTTTTACAATATAGTTGCATGTTAGAAATACTTGTTCCTATTTGATTAATGGAAAAGAATATGAAAAAAAAATGTTTAATTTAAAAGCACATATGATAATCTTGAAAATATCCAATTACATTATTTTTCTAGGTCTTTATCTTGTAACGAATGATTTTAAATTAGTCAAATCCAATGATATAGTCATCATGGATGATAAAACTAAACTTGATTATATAACAAAATTAGCACATGATAAATTTATGTTTAATCCTAATGAACGTGTTCTTAAACTTGATGCTAATCCAGCATCAGCAAGTACGAAACAAAATTCTTCTGTACTACATTTAAAAGATATAGTCGATAAAATATTCGTTAGTCAACGTCCTGTTTTATTTACACAAAAATATGAAGAATCATTTTCAATAACAATTCCGGAAGATGAAGAATCCCATCGTCAACGTTTTCTTTATAATCTTGAAAGAAAATATAATCAATTATTATCTTCACGTCATTTACATCGTTGTATGGCTCGTGTTATTGCAAATCATGTTGCAAGACAACAAAGTCCGAAAATAATCTCTATGGATGATGTAGAAAATTTAATTCGTCAACGTTTAACATTTGTTAAAGTAACATGTGTTGAATATCTTGAAACAAATTTAGTTTATAAAAAAACTCAACAAAAAGTTGATCAATCAGTTGATGAAAAAGCTGTTTATTTAGTTGCTGAAGGAGAAGAAAATATTACATTATATATTAGTATGAAACATACGGAACAACCTTATTTTACATTATGTTTAGCACGTGCATTAAGTCCATGTTTAGGTTTATCAGAATTACAATTAGATAATTCTGTTATGGCGGCACTTCTAGCAACAACAATAGGACAAATGTCAAAATTTTTAAATTTAGTTAATGTTGCGACGGAAGAAAATATTTTATCTACACTTAAATTACAATATATTCCTTCGCCAGGTAATGTTTATGGTGATGATATTGAACAATTACAACAATTTAATGTTGAACAACATCAAATTTTACCAGGAGATTTATGTGTTTATCGTGATAATGATTTATATATTTATTGTGAAGTTGAAAAAATTATTAAAGAATATCCAAATCAAACAAATAATACTGAACAAGATCATTGGTCATGGTCAAAAAAGAATTCATCATCACTTATACCAACATATATATTTATATGTCGAGTTAATGATGCGAAAGAAACACAACGAATTGAAGCAGTCAATTTTTATGTATTAGAACATTGGTCAAGAATATTTGATGCTGTACATACAAAACCAGTTGATGAACGAGAATCATCGAGATCTTCAACAGCATCAAGTTCAACAACGAATACACAAGGTAAGAGATTTGAATAAAATCGAATGAATTTCATATGATATTGTGTTGTCTAATAGGAAAAAGTGGTAGCGGTGGTGGTGCTGGTGGTGAGAAAGATAAACACAATAATAATGAAAAATATTCTTCATCACGACGTTCAGAAAGATCAACAAATGATAATGCTGGTTTTAATAGTGATCCTGGTTTTTCAAATGGTTTTGATAATTCTAAAACTTATCGTCAAACATCAGCTGATAGTGATTCATCAAGTAATCTTACATCAGAATCTCAATCTGAATCTGAATCAGCACAAACTACTGAACAAGATGTTATTGATAAAACTGAATTAGAATTAACCAAAACAGAAATTTATAATGCTGTACGACAAGCATTTCAATTAACCGGACAAGAACGTAAGAAAACTGTTAAAAAATTATTATTAAAATGGCATCCCGATAAAAATCCCGGTCGTGAACGTTTCGCTGCTGAAGTATTTAAACATTTACGTAAACAAATTGATCATTTTGAAAATGATCCATTAACATCATTTTTTAATACATTCAATAATTTTCATCATTCACCATTTTCTGCTTCCGATCCGAAATTTAGTTGGAATAAACATTCAAGTTCAAGTACAAATAATAAAACAAATCAACAACAACAACATCAACATCCATCATCATCATCAACAACAACTGATGATCGTTTTGGTAGTTATGATAATTTAAATAAAGATGCAAATGATGAAACAAAACGTAGTTATCAAGATATACCAAATGGAAATAATAATACTAAAGATCATACAGATAATAATGATACTGATGCTAATTCAAAAAGTCGATATAGTCCACATCGTTCATCATCATTTCGTACAGCACGTGAAGAATGGCAATATCGTCGACAACATGGTTTTCCACGGCGCCATGGATTTTTTAGTACAGCTGAAGAAAATGCAACGAATAATGGTAATGGTACTAATTCTCAGACATCTGGAGGAAGTAAGTTTATCCTATATTTTCTCTTTTCTCTTTTTTTATTATTTTGTTTTCCAAATAATAGAAGAAAGTCCAAATGCACGTCGAAAACGTAATTATCAACAATCAGAAGCTGATCGATGGCTTAAACAAGCACAACATGATCTTGAAAGTGCATATAGTGATATGCATTCATCAACTGGTCAAGTTGCATATGATTGGGCTTGTTATAAATGTTATCGAGTATGAAATCCTTTTTATTTAATATAAAAATAAAATATTCGAAAAATGTTTTTTAGGCTGCAGAAAAAGCATTAAAAGCTTATCATTATTATAAAGATACAGGAAAAAATATGACTGCTGATATACCTGGATTATTAATTGGTGTTGATAATGATGTAAGAGAAATCGGTTATAAATTATATAAATGGATTGGAGATCCAAATCGAATGCAATATCCAAATGCAGCACGATTTGCAAAGATTCCAGCTGAAGTATTCACTGTTTGTAAGTTTTTTTTAATTCTTATATTTTCTTTCAAAATTCTAATATGTTATTGTAATAGCTCAAGCTGAACAAGCAATTGAATATACAAAAGAATTATTAAAGAAAATTGAAGATATTATGTATCCATGAAAAAAACAATCGATCAGTCTTCCTTCCTCATCTCTAGTCAAATGTTTTTTACTTTTCGATTTTCTTACAGTATGCGCTCGCATTCATATTGTTGTGACGTCTCTCTTTCTTTTCTAACATCAATCGGAGATGGTTAAATCATCTCTTCTCTTTTCTTTTTGTTATACATTATTTTTTGCTGTTGCTGTTTTACTTTTCGTTTAATTCAATTTTTTTTATACAGATTTTTAGGGTTTAGCAACATGTTTATTAACAAAATGAAATAAGAGATGAGAGGGGAGATTTATGTACAAAAAAAAA